AAATGCAGTACTATTTATTAGTTAGGATATATAGAATAGAATAGTTTATTTCAGTTTTCGTCCACAATACACTTTACAAATCCGCCTCACTTAAGCACATATGCTTGTGTGTGAGAACGGTCAGTTCATGTCTACAAGTTCTCTCTCTCTCTCCCCCCCCCCCCTCCCCGCCCCAAGCCTTTGCAACAGAAAAAAGGGAAACAACAAGAATAAAACAAAAACTAAATATGCAAGAAACCGTGGTATGCCATGCTGTTGCCTATCAATTATTAACACTTTGTGGATTGAACCATGCGTCGTTATGCAATAGTATCCGTTACATTTGTCCCGCGTAAAAGAATGACGGTAGGGAGTGCCCCAGCACGAAGTGGGAATGGTTTAAATGGGAAGCTCAGCTAACTGCTATAGAACGTGATAGTACGCTTACTTACCGGAAGAAAAGAGAAGGAAACCTGCTGTTATATGCTTTTCACCGCATTTCTAAACTGGAATGCGAATATCCTGGACAGTTTACAAATCAGTTGAGTTATGTGAAACAAAAAATAACTGAATTTGAATCAGAAAAGTCAAGGAGCACTCGTAAGAGCTCGAGCTGAGAAATTATTTCTGGGTGAACAGCCAACCATACGGCAACTAAGTGCAAAAGATAAATACGCAAAAACGAAAAAGAAAAACAAAAATACATCGCAGAGATGGAATACGATGGCCTCTCGAGTAGTCGCTCTGAAGTAATCGAAAATATTTTTATTGAATATTATAGCAGTCCGTTTCGGCGACGGCAGCACGGCAACGACTCGCAGCTTAAAGATTATCTCGCGGTGATGCCCCGTCTAAGTGACGAGATAAAGGAGTGGCTGAAAGTTCCGATAAGTGCGAAAGAAATCGAGCTGGCAATAGACGACCTCCCGTTAAAGAAGTCTCCGCGGGGTCCCACGGTTTTACAGCGACTTTTTATTAAAAAAAAATAAAGGACGTAATTAGAGGTCGTCTTCATGCCGTAATAATTGAGGCATGTGAGCCAAATACGTTACCACCTTCTTTCTTAAACACACACACTGTTCTCATCCCCATGAACAAAAATTACAACATGTAAAAAAACTACAGGCCAATAGCCCTTGGTAATGTTGATTACAATGTTCTAATGACATATTTAACCCGGCGGTCGCAGAGCGTTATTTTTAAGATCGTGGGTGCGCATCAGACGTGTGGCATCAAAGGTCGTTCAATTCGGACAAATGTTCACATCGCTAGAAGTACATTAGACGTGTGTGACGAGGAACTAGATCAAGTTGCCATGATCGACCTGGAGAAGGCCTTCGATCGTGTACAACAAATGTACTGCATAAAATATTAGAGCACGTTGGAGTAGGCAAAAGAGTATTAAACTTTGTTCGCATGGCACATTCAGGATGTACTACCCAGCTCGTAATTAACGAGAAACTTACAACGCGTATTAGTGTACAGCCATCCGTCAGACAAGGTTGCCCACTGTCCCCGTCGCTGTTCTGTGCATTTCTTGAGCCCGTTTGTAGAAACCTAATTAAAAATAGACAAATAAATGGATTTTCTCTCCGAAATATATAAATAAAACTTCTGGCATACGCCAATAATGTTGCTGTTGGTTTTTTTTTTTTTTTTTTGTAAAGATAAGTATTGTCGAAGCGGTGCGTGAAGCGAGCTGACCGGCGCTGCCGTTAATTGGCTAAAATGCTGTGGGCTTTGGCTTGGGACATGGGCCATGAAGCCCAAACTTTTTGAAGATATCAGTTTTATGTCGACGCCAACTGAGTATCGTGGTGTTCCATTACAACATTATAAAAGATCGAATGAATACTGGTCGAGGGTAATTCAGGAGACGCGAGAGAAAGCTGGTAAGTGGGGTGGGTGGGATATGTCCATTTTTACGCGTGCCACTGACTGTAACATCTTTTTAATTGCAAAATTTTGCTATGTACTTCAAGTTTTGGCTTGCGCAAGAGTATATATGTACAAAATTTACACCGTGTTTTCGCTGTATCCATTTGTCGGTCTGGTTGGGAAATAGTATGTCGCGAAAATCCATTTCGCTGCACCAAGGAAGGAGGGCTGTCCTTATCACATGTATTTGTCAAGCAAGTTGTTTCGCGGTTTTTGTTTTTTAAAGAGCAAACTAATCAATGTCTTCGTGCTGTCATTCAGACTACACTTGCAGAGGAAATCTCTTTGTTCGTTGTTTTTATGAGTTATAAAAAGCAAAGGCGAATTGATAGTTTTCTTCGCGACGTGATTGACGCCTGCGGGTTTTTGACTGCAGGTTTCTCTTTTGAATACTTGTCGGGTGTCGCCCGAAAACGCCTTACGCGAGATATTATTGACACTGTGTTTCCTGTACCTGTGTACCGTCCTATGTTTTATGATGGCCTAGGGCAGGACGTGTTATCTAGAGCTAACAAGAATGTCAGTACCACCTTCTGTAAAAACCTTCTTCTTTAAGTTACACACGAACACTCTCCCATTAAAAACTTTACTCTATAAAAAAAAGTTTATCCTTTGTGGCGTTAACTGCCACCTGTGCAAAAAGCCTGATACTACAAAACACGTATTTTTAGACTGCTGGGACGCCCTTCTTTTTTGGGATGTTCTCCAGAGAACTATTCAAAAAGATTTTTTTTTTTTATCTTAACGCCGCATGGTATCAGATCAGGTTCCTTCCTGTTCCAAAGACAGCGAAATTCCGGTTGACCTTTTCGTGCTTCTGGGCCTGCATGCAATATGATGCAGTAGAATGGCTGTAAGGCATGCTGTTATGGACACGCGTCCCGTTCGATTGTATTTTATGGAAGTTATTCGCCGCCTAAAATATGTGTATGCCACGTTAGTGTGTCCACCCGATCGGGTGCCAATATTGCACGCTCTAGAGACCTTGAGAGAATTTTAAGATTCATGCTCTCCTATGCATGTTGTGCACGAGTTTTTATCATTATGATTATCATTGATTGTTGAGTTTGTGTTTCTTGTAGCGTGTCTGGCACGCAACCGATAGGTCGTGGGTTCGAATACCGCCTAAAAGTTCTTCAATTTTTTTTTCTTGAAGGCAAATTAATTACTTCATACACTGAAATCATTTGAGACAGGCGGCGACCTTTCATTTGCATTACGTCATGTTTTATTCACTTTCAATTCTAAGCGTGACGTCACGTTTCACTTGAGCATTGCAGGTTGTTTGAAATTCCCGCGCAAGGTCATGTGGCTGTGACGTCCTGATCCTATATCGACCAATTAGGATTTTCCCTTTACAACGCCGCCGACACCGGCTTTTCTGCGACACGAGCTCCTTAACGCGCGTTAAACACGCTGCTTGTAATGACATGTTCGATGTACGTGTCATCGACTTGAGCGTCACGGACGGGCGACGGAAGAATATTTTCGAGAACCAGCAGCGCTTCTGAAAGTATTCCCTGTCGCCGAAATTCCACTTTTTCTTTTTCTTTTTTTAAAAAGTATATTCTGTTGATCTGCTTTGTCCCGCTGTGTGTAATTTCCGTGTATGCTTTTGGAGCTGAATAGCGCGGGGGATCTGGGTTGCTGATACCCGTGGTTTAAAATACATATTGCATCTCTTTTTTGTCAATAAAATTTGGCGATTTTTTTTTTCAAAATGAAGTTTTTTTGTGTTTCTTTGCTTATATCATAAACGCAGAAGGAAATTAAAACAGAAATTATTTTCGACGACTTTTTTTTGCAAGACTTGGCGCCTTTTGAAAGTTTCGTAAATATACCATTTAATGGTGTGCTTACTCAATAGGAAACTTCCCAGGAGGTAACACAAAAACATATATTTGTTAAAACGCAAAGTTCTTACCGTCTGCAGGCCTCATCGGGCTACATCGACTTAAATAAGCAAGATATAAGCGTTCGCCTGTCTTTTATCAATTGAAGAAAGGGACTTGCTATTTTCAATAAGAACGACAAAAGGAAGGGTACACTTTCCACTATGGACAACATAAACGATCTATAAATATTATCGTTGTGTAGATGGTCCTGTAGAGGGTCAAACATGATCATCGCACGCGGATGGGAGCAACTTCACACGCAGTGAAACAACTCTCCGATTTGTCTTACCAATTTCTTTTAATGTCAAGACCAGCAGTCTTGTAATTTACAATATTCATGGTTGCTTCGATCTCTGCGCATCCATATACAATAAGTACAGCGACTTGCAAGAGGGGAAAGCGGTAGCTGTGAAAGAACAAAAAAAAAAAAATGCATATATGGTAAGATCGGCAACAAGACACGCTTTGTTGATGTTCTAGACGGCCAATCAGTTTTCGTATGCTAAAGGCGCCGTAGTGCGGGCAAACTTTTCTTCGAATAGGTCGGCCTTCGCTGCCTAAAGATTCCAGAAGGGTTTAAATATGCGTGTATTCGGAACCCTTTCGCTCGTCAGGCTTCGAGACAGAATCAAACAAAAATACCGAAAACATGAAAAAAGAGTAAAAAGTTTTTACTTTTTTTTACACGCTTCCCGCAAAAACATCCCCGGGGCGTCATCGGAGCAAATCGAGTCGGCATTGCCCTCTTCCCCGTCGCCAGTAGGCCCGTGAACGACACGCTTACAAAGCGGTGGGGGGAGACCCACGTTTTTCGAATACTCCCCTTACGTGCGCGCGCAGAAACATCACCACACAACAAACACGCGACGACGACGGCGACGGCGATGGAGGCCAGGGACTGCCAGAGAGAGAGTGAAGACGAAGGCAAAGCCCACCCTCCCGGAGAGTAGCGCCTACAAGTCGTGCGACTTCCCTCTTGGCAGTAGTCGTGTGAGTGACGGCAAGCCGGCGAGGGTGGTGCTGCTGCGCTCGTAAGAAGGCGAGGGCGAAAGATCCAACCCGGCGGTGGCGCTCCCTGCGAGAAGACCATCTAAACAACATGAAACTTTCGGCCGGAGCGGCCGCTGCGGTCTCCTGCTCCAGCGGCTCCCAACGTCCCCAGCTGGCGCACCACCACCAGGCTCACCCATGACGCGCCGACGTCGCCTGCTCCTCTGGCTGCTCTTCGCAGTCCTGAGCCGGACCGGAGGAGTCTGGGGCCTGGCGGAGAAAGACATCGTGGTCAAGAACGTGCCGTTACGGGTCCCGGTGGGAAGATATGTGTTTGTGAGTCCGTCGGAGGACCTCCGGATACGCGTGGCTCCTGGAGACAGCTGCAGTGTCCAGGTGGTTCAGAGTGATGAGGACGGCCCGGTGGGAAGTGTTCGCCCCGGAAGGCTGCAGCCTTCAAATTTCCCGTGCGGCTTTGGGCTCGGGAGCGTGTCCTACACGCACTTTGGGTCCAGGATTGCTCCCCTGCTGGACAGGGTCCGGCTTCTGGTCAAGTACGACGCCGAGAACGAGACGTTGATTGTGCCTCTCGTGCTGGTGGTGACGGTGTTGCCGACTCCTTTCGAGATCGCCGTTAAGGTGGCGTCACTGACTGTGAGCCGCATTGGCGGCGAAAGTCAGTCCATCGGCACTGACACACTCAACTTCGAGGTTGGTGATGGTGTGTGTAGGGTTAGGGTCCAGACTGAGATTCATCAGCTGCCTCGGTACGGTGAGTTGGTCGGCGATGTTCCTACTCAGTTGACAAGTTGTGAGGCCTTCCTGGGAGGGGACATCCGTTACCGCCACGGGGGTAACCACAGGTCTCCAAACAGAGACTACATACCGATGCTAGTTGAGGTCAGTGATTCTCGCGGTCACGTTGTGAAAAAAGAATGGTTTCAACTTCCGGTCAGGATTCAGGATGGTGTTGAAAACTCGGCACCCCAGCCGACCTTCGCGTCTGATCTTCGGCTTGATGTGAACCAGTTCATTATGACGGCGATTACGCCTGCCGTACTCGCTGCTGAAGATTTAGAGAGTGATAGCCGGCTACTGTTGTTCAACATGAGGACGTTCCTGGGTCCCGAAGAAGGTCACTTCGTGTCCACCGACGACCGACGGTTACCGGCCACATCCTTCTACCAAAAAGATGTTCAAGCTCTCAAAATCGCGTACGTTCCGCCGACTCAGGGCTCGGAGGAGCGAAGAGTGTTCCGCATTGAACTCGAGGTCGTAGACCCGGAAGGAGCTGCGTCGGACCCTTTCTCGCTTATGATCATCGTCAAACCGACGAATACCATATCTCCTCTGGTGATAAAGAACACTGGACTGACTCTTTTCGAGGGAAAATCTAAGAAGATTGTTCATAGCTTGCTTATTTCAGACGAGGACAACCGGGACGACGTGTCCTTGACTGTGGTCGACGGATTGCGTCACGGAAGCCTCCTTGTTGACGGAAGCGAAACAGACTCATTCGCAATCGGGGATCTGGATCAAGGTCTCGTCTTTTACAGACACGACGGAAGCAGCACAATTACAGACAATATCGTCTTCAAGATGAGCGACGGCACGCACGAGGTTGAGTTCCTCTTTCCTGTGACCATATACCCGGACGACGACGAGCCGCCGTTACTCAATGTCAACACGGGTCTCTCAACTCAGAAGGGTGAAGACTCGCAGGTGACGTCGCGTCATCTAAGTGCCACTGATGTTGACAGTGATGACACAACCATCCTTTACGAGCTGTTGCCTCCGTTTCCAGAGCATGGGACTCTAATTTTGAAGCAGCCGGAAAAACCACCGGAATCGTTTCGCTGGGAATACAGGGAAGGAGTGTTCGAGCGGGAGGTCACAAAGTGGACTCAAACGGACCTCCAAGAAGGAAGATTATTCTACCGCCACACGGGGGATCATGTTACCGAAGTGACCAGTGACAGCGTATATTTTCGTCTTTCCGATGAGAACAACCCACCTAACGAGTCCGGCATCAACGAGTTCACCATTAAAATTATGCCCGTGGACGACATAGCGCCCGAACGGTCTCCAGAGGCGACACTTCACCTCCTAGTTGAAGAGTTCCAGCTGACCGAGATCACCAAGTTGGAATTGCGTTACAGGGACCTAGACACGAAGGAAAAAGATCTGAGGTATCGGATCACAAAAGCGCCCCACGACACGGATGAAGCAAACGCGATGAGCCCGGGCATGGTTGTGCGTGTTGACAGTCCTGACGTCGAAATAACAGAGTTCACCCAGGCCGAAGTCAACCATCACAAGATAGCGTACAAGCCACCGCCTATTGAGCTCGGAATAGTGCCACGAATTATCCAGTTTCACTTCGAGGTGTCCGACGCCGGCAGCAACGTGTTGCCCGACCAGGTGTTTACCATCCTATTGCAGCCTGTCGACAACAAACCTCCCACTGTGCTCAATCGCGGCCTTTCAGTTGTCGAGAAGGGCTTTGTGGACATAAGGACAGAGGACCTCGACGCAACGGACACGGACACCCCGAGTGATGAGCTGAGTTTTGTGATCGTCAAAACTCCGGTATATGGTAGAGTACGCGTCGGATCGGATGCGTTGAACGAGGACGACTTCTTCAAGCGCGAAGATATTGTGAACGGTCGCGTGAGGTACGAGAATATTGGCGGCTCGTCAAGGAAAACAGATCGGATTGACATAGAAGTTTGCGACGGAGTTCACAGGGTTCCTATAACTGTCCGGGTTCACATAAAGCCACTCTCGGAAGAACCGCAAGGTTTACAGAAAAGACCGGGTACTCTAAACGTATACCTAAGCGTCAACGAGGGCGGAAAGGTATTGTTAGGAGGTCACGCTTTTAAGGTGCAAAGCGTCAACTTAGAAAAAGGAGCGGTAGAATTTGTGCTTACGCATGCCCCGAAACAAGGCAGCGTCCAGAATAGCGGCCTAAAAACAAGTCGGTTTACTCGTGAAGACGTGCTGAAGAGGAGAGTCTTCTACGTTCACAGCGGCAGCGAAACTGGGGAACGAGGTTCCAGTGACATGTTCCAGCTAAGCCTTGTCGAAAAGTCTGGTTCGGTTAAAACGGACGACGTTCTGGTGCAAGTGAAGATTGAGCCCGTCGATTCAGTGGCTCCCAGAGTGGCGGTGGGACCACCTCTGCAAGTGCGCGAGGGCGCCAAGGCTGCCATCACAAGGAACTACTTATCCGCCACAGATGTGGACTCAAATGACGAGGACATTCTCTGTAGCATCGATGTCCAACCCAGCCACGGTTACGTCGAGAACGTGTCCCCGGCTCCTGGTTCGGAGCGCGTTAGAGCCGGAGTACCGGTGTCAGCTTTCACGATTGGAGAAGTTCTGTCCGGATGGATCAACTATGTCCAAAGCATCCACCGTGGCTTTGAACCTCTCGAAGACAACTTCACCTTCATCTGTTCGGACGGTGTAAACGTGAGCCCGAAATCTAAATTCAACGTGCAGATATATCCGACGAACGACGAGATGCCGGAGATCGCGGCCGACGAGATGTTCGTGGTCGAAGGTGGTGACGTCTCACTCGATACGCTTGTCGCGCAAGTCACAGACATGGACAGGCCTCCGGATCAACTCGCGTTCAGGATAACGAAGCATCCCATGCACGGAAGGATCGTGACGGCGCACTCTGTCGTCGTTGACAGCTTCACGAAAGCAGACGTGACACCGCCGTCTTTCATCGTCTACCGACACGATGACAGCGAGACTACAAGTGACTTCTTCGAACTATATGTCAGTGACGGCATGCACCAGAGCAGCGGTAGGATTTCCGTGACCATTGAGCCGGTCGACGACGAGACGCCGCGGCTCGTTGCAAATACTGGTCTGGACGTGGGCGTCGGGGAGGCAAAAACAATTACAAACCGTGTCTTAAAAGCCGAGGACGTGGACTCCGAACAATCCGCCTTGGTGTACTCCATAATACAGCCTCCTAAGCACGGTTACCTCCAATACTTGAACGCGTCCTCTTATAGACCTCAGCGGAACCTTTCTCTCGGCTCTAACTTCACGCAGCAAGACATCGACCGTGGCTTACTAGTCTACAGGCACACGGGCGTACCAGGAGTTAGGGACCTAATTAAATTCGACGTTACTGACGGCTCGAACCCTCTGATAGATCAGTTTTTCTGGGTCACTGTCGAGAGCGTCGACGCGGTCTATCCCGAGGTTGTGAACAGGGGCGTCCGGCTTCCGGAAGGTGGGAAGGTAATCTTGACGACAGCAACGTTAAGCACGACGGACCTTAACAGCGACGACGAACTACTTCGGTTCACCGTCACAAAATCCCCATCGAAGGGTCACCTAGAGAGCACGGATGCTCCGGGCGTCATCCTGAGGACGTTCACCCAAATGCAGCTGGCAGGCAATAAAATCTGCTACGTGCACACCAGCAAGGACGAAAGCAAACTAGACAGCTTCGAGTTCGAAGTGAGCGACGGCAGGAACTCGGTCTTCAGGACGTTTCGCATCTCGATCACAGACGTCGATAACAAGAAACCCGTTCTGTTCATCTACAGGCTCCGCCTCCGGGAAGGCACCGAGCGCCTCATCACACCGTTCGAGCTGAGGGCAGACGACATGGACACCTCCGACCGAAACATACAGTTCAAGGTCGTCCACAAGCCGATTCACGGCAAGCTCATCTACGGCAGGTCCCGCGAAGCGAACGCGTTCTCGATGGCCGACCTGAACGACAACAGGGTGTTGTACGTTCACGACGGCAGCGACACGGCAAGGGACAACTTCACGTTCGTCGTGAGCGACGGCACGCACCGGGACTTCTACGTACATCCGAACGTCCAGGAGGCCACACGCGAACCGCAGATGTTTCCCGTCGAGGTGGTGCCTGTCGACAACAGTGCTCCGCAGATAACGGTGAACAAGGGCGCGTTTGCCCTGTCCCCTCTGGACAGCTCCCGGCGCCTTGGATATCGGCTCAGCGGAGACGTGCTTCGGGCGACCGACGCCGACAGCGTGGATGCCAGGCTCAAGTTTGTGGTGACCGTGTTCCCGTCGCACGGGATCATCGTGAATCGAGCCGTGGGTAACAGGAGCGTCGTGGAGTTCACTCAAGGTAAGCGCAAGCTCGTCTATTGTCACATCGACCCCCCGCCACAAAAATGCTCAGTTATTGGGCTGTGGACGCATGCTGATACTCGGCAGAAGACATTCCACTGATCCTCCCACGGCGCGCTGCCATCTTCATTTACTCTGCTGTAAAACGCGTTCTGGGCATGCGCACTACTTCTCTTCTGGAAAATATCAGATGCCGCGCGCATGCGTCCAGAGGCCAGGGACTCAGCATTTTTTTGCCTCAGTGATAAGCGTTGAAAAGAGGTGCACAGTCACTTAAATTAAGAAGCACAGGGCCTGTCGAGTCCCGAGCAATATCACTCGGCAGCCAATGAAACTGTGACATCAGTCATGCATAAGAAAGAATCACCCCCTTTTCTGTTTTTAAGCTCTCAGTGGCCATAATTGATTTAACGCCATAGTAGTGAATGGGCGTTTTGGTGGGGCTTCGACAGCTCCCTCGTCTCCCTTCCACTATGAGTGATTGATGTTTCGCGATTGTGCCCGTTGAATGGGTGTTTTTTTTCGCACACACCCGTTACTGAGAATCCGTGAACTTGTGAACTGAAGCTGTTGCGAAAATGATTTTCTCTGTTGCCTTTATGTTTTGTGTAGTGTACGATTTAAACTCCGCCCTATGAACTCGGAAAAATGTTTTTCTTGGTGTGCATGTCTGGACAAAAACCATATTGTGTTTATGACTAGCTTCTAGTGTCAGAGATTATTCGAGGGTCACTATGGTGAGAACCTGAGTGTATGAGGTATTTCTCATTATGACTAACGTTTATACCGATTTCGACACCGGTTATTTTCTTTAATCTCTCCATCCCACTCCCCTTGCACAGAGTTGCCAACCATGACAATTATTCAGGTTAACCTCCACATGTGTTTTACTCTTCTCTCCTTCCTTTTTTATTTTGTTTTTATTTGTGGGATTCTTGCGGTGAACGTTGAGGTGTAAGTGTCCTTCTGTAAATTGCTTTAGTTTCGCAGTGATTGATGATGCCGTTCAATGCACTAGTTGCACGCTGTGTTTTCGTTGGGTCGGGGCACACATTTAGCATCATATACCTCATCCAAGCTCAAGCGCATGCCTCTTGTTGTCACGCTGCACTTCTTAAATCGGGCTTCAGAGTTTCATTCATTGTGTGCTTGCGCTTTGTTGCGTACACATTTCATTGTGTACCCGAACACCAAAAGGTTGCTTGCCAAGTACCAATGGATGCCTTGTGATTTTTTTTTTATGTAATATGAAGATTTATTTCAAATGTCGTCTAAGGACAGAATAAAATTAACAAAAACGGCCTCACACAAAAATATAAACAGTCGAATTCAATGTTCCGCCTCAGGAGCGACGTCTTTTCAGCTTAAACATCTTTCTTGTTGCGTCAAGCCGTTTTGTTATTTTTATCATCGTAAACCTGCCACGTTTTAGCGTTTACTAAACGGAGGACAAAGAATGTCACAAGTTCCATCCTGTGTGTCGATTTCGACGACATGGAGGAGATTAAACTGTTTTCTGAAGATGTTCGTGGATGGATAGATGAACACGCTGAACCTTTTTAATCGGACGGCACCTTGCACCACCTGGCCGATAATGCGAAAAGCAAATAGCATTACAAATAGCGAGCAAATAAAGACGGCACGTAGCGGCTCCTAGCGGCAAGACGGGGACTTGAAGGAAGAGAGCAAGTCGAGACGTCTGGTAAAGCCCACGGCAACGTTCGTCATGCACCCCGTCGCCCGCAGAACGTGTGCGCACACACGCTCGGCGAAGACCGTAATCCGACACCGCTAGCTGATCCCCGCTCTCTCTGTTCATACATTTATTCCGAGGAAGATTGGAAACGGGGGTAGGTTACGAAAGAGTGTGCGTGTGTGTAAGTGAGAGAGAGAGAAATAAAAAATAGACAGAGAGTGTATGAGACAGGGAGAGATGAGGTAAATATTTAAATGGTAAAGTAATTTTGTGTTTGTCGTTCATACAGCGGGAGGTTTGCCTGCGTGAGCATGGCGACATTGTTACCCACTATAGATGAGAAATTTAGCCTGTGCAGTACAACCGCTAGCCTGGAGTCTTTTAACGAGCACCACGCAGTATACTAGTGAAGTGATACACGACCGCACGCCGGTACGATGCTCATCCAGACCGAAGCGGGCAGAGGTTCGGATTGAATCGAGCATTTCTGGGTTCTGCAGCGCGAGCTTTCGCTTCACGTGCTCCGAGCTGGTTAATAATAAAATGGTCTGCCTGTGAGAGACATCCAAATTGAAGAGAGAGAGAGAGAGACGAAGATCGTGAGGCTAAAAACTGGGGCTGATATTCAGCTGAAATTGAGCTAGGACTTAAGAAAAAATACGGAGGAAGAGAATAAGAACGAGAAAGTAACGGAACGAATGAATGAGGGAAACGATTAAAATGTTATAATTGAAAGATGTATTGAATGAGTATGTGAAGGTGAAGGAATGAATACCTGCAGATGAATCTATGGGCTGTAAATGCCTCGCAACAATTCTTGAGATTCTCAAGAGCTTCATAGACGAAAATATAAGCATTGACTCAATCTGTACTACTAAACGGTCCTCTATAAATTATTTAATCGAACTTTTTTTTTTTGCGTTTTGATCACACGGGTAGTTCTGTTACTGTAATTTCTTCTTTCTTTTGTTTCCGTAATATAGGTATATTTCAAATCGGGTATTCCACTGTCGATGAAGCTAAGATCTCGCAAAAATGATTCAAAAACCGGGGTTCATGATTAAAAACAAATACCTCCGACTTGCATAACATGGACGAAGAACTGCCATGGACGAAGAAGTCGGCAGAACGGATGAAGAGAAGGATGAAGCAAGCGTTAGATTGCTGGTAGCTAGTCGGGTGTTCCTAGGCCGCACTGATGATGTCCCCCGCATAGGAGACGAAACGTCTTATAAATTGTTGGTATTGTGATGCAAGTCGGAGGTATTCGCTTTAAGCTAAGATCTCGTCAAGCTTCACGGTGAAGCATTTTGCTCCTCTCGCTCTCCCGTTCTTTTCGAACGGGTACATACACAGTTATTATTATTATCGTGAGAAAGAAAAAAAGACAAGACATTGAAAACTCCGTAATTAACAATTTGTGAAAAAGAAATAGCGACCGAAAAGTAAGTTGCTGAAAGAAAAAGTGAGTGAAACAGGCACAGAAAAAAATGAAGAGGAAAAAAAAAAAACGATAGACGGACTCAAAAAGAGAGTAATCGAAGTAAGTAGTAAGGGGCTAAGAATGTGCAGCTTGTTTACACAAGACTCCCGCTCCTCCGATGTCGCGCCTCTGGTAAAAGAGCCAGGCCGTGTCCGTGGGTCGTTCTCTCTCGGTCTACGCGTAACGCCAGCCAAGCGTATAGCTTCCGCGCACCGAGAACCGCACTCCATGTCACCCCACGATGGACCGCGGTAGACGCTACGGACCACTCGGAGTCAATCCAACGGTTCTGCAAGTGTCAGGTGACCTTCCAGAGGGGTGCAGCGGCGATTGGAGCCCGTGGTCACGGGGTATGTCCAGAACTCTGGATTGGCGAGGATTGCTCGCGGCGTTCGCTGCGGATTATTGTAATGTGAAACGGAGTTTAGGTCCAAGAACGGTCTTCGGGTAAACAACGAAACCACGCGCCTCATTCGTTCACCTTTCAATGATTGATTTACGGCTGCGACGGTTGGTGTGTGTTAGAGAACGAGCTTCCTTCAGAAAGAAACGGGATATCTTGTTTGGGAACGATCGCAGTTTTCGTAGTTTCGAGGCTCGTGATGAAAGCGCTCTTGGTCGGTGTGGGTTTGTGTGTGTCGACGTTTGGTCCTATATTTTTGTTTGTGCGTGTGCGTTTTTGCTGCGTTTTTCTTAGCTGAGCTCCCTCCAAGCTATTGAGTAGGCGGGGTTTTTTAACTTATCATTGTCATTTTACTTGAGGGCCCATTGGGCCTTACACAAGGGCTGAAAGTAGCAGCGCATCATTACGTAAAAACCTAGAATTAAAAGTAAGCAGTGAAACGTTGTTATATACAATACACTGTGTTGTAGACGTTACTAAAAAAAGTAACGAAATACGTTACTGCTTACTTGCAAATGAAAGGAACTTGTTACCGTCCTTCGTTACCTCAAAGAAAAGGGATGCGTTACAGTGTTCGTTACCGATAAAAAGTAACGCACGTTACTTTGGCGTCACTTTTCTTAAATTTGAATTAACACATTTTACTGTTTTGATGTAACAAATATGCATAAGCGAAACGTTAAAAAAAAAAAAAGCAGATGTCTATTCAGAAACTGAACATAATGACCTCATCTTTTTTACGGTTTCACCAGAGTACTCACAGGAAAGACGCAAAAGAAACACTCAAAAATTCGCACGGATAAAAACACGAACAAAATGAAAGTGTACTTTTTTTAAGTTTTGAGAAGAAAAAGTAACGGAAAACCCAACTCCGTTACCCGTTACTCGAAATAAGTAACGTGAGTACGTTACTCGTTTCTGCTTTGAAAAAGTAGCGAGTAGGTTACACATTACCAAAAAGAAAGTAACCCGTTTCCGGTAACGCCGTTACTTATAACGTGTAACCGTCAACACTGTCAATATATCCCTTATTCGGGCAGTCATACAAAAATGGAACTAAAATTATATCACAATCAGTATTTCCTTAAGGAACCAATTGAAGCACCAAAACATTATTTTTTGTGGCATTTTATTTCACATTTAAGAGATAGGACATGTATCTCCCAGTGCACACTGCCCGTTAGGGGATAAAAAATGTTGAATATTTGAAACAAGAATTACTTCTTGTGGTACAACCTGAAGCAGTTTCTTGGGGACTTTCCCGTCACTATGCAAAGCCTAACTTTGCACTTTTCACAGGCAAGTGATGTTTGGTCGCTTGGGCAGTACCTGCAGCGACCTTTGCCTTCCAGTGTCGGTAGGTGACCCACACCGTCGTAGCGGACATCGGTGACAGGTGCTGCCGTGGTCTGCATTCTTGGGCGCTGCGCTGCAGGTTCTTCATCGAGGGTGGAAGAAGGTCTCCCCCTTTTCGGGAGGCTTGCATGCATCAAAGCTTCTGAAACAGGTAGTCGAAATTGTTTCAGTCGCATTGCCTTCACGGCAGTGAGGTTTGACTGTCGTCGGTGTAGTAGCCAAGCATTGTTCAGGGATATATCGAGAAGCTGGCTGAAGATGCCTAAGTACCATCGCTTTGTGCGGAATGGGGTGCGATAAAGCGCTGCATACATGTCTGCAAGGTCAACACCGCCCATGTGAATGTTGTACTGTTTCACAATTTGTGGGCAAGAAACTGGAATCTTTTGACGCTCCTTCTTGTCGAACCTGTTCGCTGTTTCCACTGGGTCTTGTGAGACACAAGAGCTTGCAAGTATTACAGTCTTGTTGTCAGCCCATTTCACGACTGCAAGTCCTGCCACATTGTCCACCTTGTAGTCAAAGCTGCCTCTTCCCTCTTTCAGCAGTGACCTGTCATCCTTTAGGGAGCAGCCTCGAAGCCTGTTGCTTCGAATTGTGCCGAGACTGTGCAAAGAATACCTTTCTTTCAATCGTCAAATCAGTTCCAGCGAGGTGAAGAAATTATCAAAGTAGACGATGCTCTCATTTGGACGAGAAATGCTCTCGCACAAGCGCGACACAACCTTTGCGCCGAGACCAAGCGCCTCATCCTCTTCTGCAAGTCTGATACCTTCGAATGTCGTTGCGCCGGTGTACAGAATGAAGTCATGAACCATCTAAGAAACACCCGCACGTACAAACAGATTGAAGCCCCACTTTTTAGGTCTTTTGGGGAGGAACTGCCTCAGGTTTCCCGCCTTTTTACCCTTGTACGGGATCATCATCTCATCAATGGAGAAGAGATTTTCGCTCTCTGTGACCTTGCATTTGCTCCGAATGTGCTCAAGCACAGGTTTAATCTTGTAGGCTCTGTCAGTTTCAACTGGCTGGAGGTTATCAATAAAATGGATGAACCTTCGGAGCTTCTTGAACCGTTTTACAGGCATCACATTGGCGATCTTGTCACATCTTGTTTGACTGGCCCTGTAGTCTTCAAACGAAGGCATTCCGATGACGCCCATCATATGAAGAATTCCGATGAAGGACCTTAACTCTGCAACGTTCGTGTTGATTGAGCTTCCGGTCTGTTGAGTGGAATACAGATTTGTCTCGTAAACCACCTTCTCAATGAACTCATCGCCAAAATACATCTGGAAATACTGCAGTGGAGTGAGATCCTCCGGTGCAAGCTCTAACTGCGGTTTTGGAGCTCGGAAGTCGTGGTCGAAACTTGTCTTCCTCCATTTGTACTTGTCACCTTGTTTCGAGGAGGCGGCGTTCCTTGGCAATTCAGCTTCGTCTTCCGAGAGGGATTCTTCTACTTCCAAGCTTCTACTCCTTGCCTTGAAGATGATGTCGTCATTGTCCGCGTCCGTTTCATCATCGCTTGATGAGTCGACGTCGGATATTCCACCTTCAGGAGGGATCACTGTGGCTCTCTTTCTCAATCGTGAAACATAAAATGTCCTTGCAGTTAGCTCCTGCACAAGCCAAAAAAAAAAAAAAACATTGGAAAAACATATACAAAACAGTGGAATGAATACCCCAAACGTGCAGTGTATCCTGTGAGATACACACGGATTATCACCCTGCTTTGCATAATTGGATCGGGGTATTCGATTAAAAATACACCACCAAAGTCTTTGCACACTTTCGTATAAAATCGCAATGTTAGATTTCGATTACCGTTTCAACGTTTAGAGCACAAAGTAGTACTTGCCGTGGACACTAGGACGCCAGCACTGGTTGACTCCATGTTCTGTCACTCATGAAGAAACACTTGCTGTAGGCTCCGGGAGGTGGCGCTAGGTGTCTCGGCCGCCGCGGAGGATGTGTCCCATGAGATACATTGCCCATTTGAGGGAGTATATATTTACAGTAATTTTTATTTGTGCGTTTTAAGTCTGTATCCCCGGAGATACAATAAACGAAAGAGGGATATAACTATACGGTATACACAATACTCAGTGCCAATTGAATAGTTACAAATAAAAAGGAACTCGAAAACGATTAGCCGATGCCTTTGCAATAAACGCGACTGGAAATGTTCAGTTAGTACTCCTACAAACGTGGGTATGAACCTTTTGGGTCACAATGTCGTTAAGCAAGTTTTCCTAGCCCGTTATTCGTAATGGAAAAGCGGAGATAGAAGATGAGACAGAGGAAGCGAAAATGAACTTTACCAACAAAGACCATACGCGAGTGGGGGGTCCCCTGAAGCTTGTTCTCACTTTATCAGCGGGGCCAGCGGCCAACTCCGCGCAGAACTGCAGAGCTATCTTTTCGACGGAAATCGTGGACATTTAAAACGCGTGTCTACAGAAATTGCTGACTTGTTACACACCGCGTTTGACGGATATAATCTCAAAACGACGGTTTTAGCGGGGTTCGCTCTTCTTTGCGGAGATATCTGCTCTAAAGAAAAGAACGCGAAGAATGTGCTCATAACGCTGGTAGGAAACAACGTATCTTAGCCGGAATGCTTTCTATCAGCTTATTAGAGCTAAAAGCAGTGACTGTTTAGTGTCAGGTACACACTCCGTGTCGCCTTAAGATGGTCTGCAACGGGCGTTACGACCCATCCCAGCCAATCAGGCGCTGCTAAATGATCACGTGACTGCGCCCGTCGCTGTGCCTCACTCGAAGGTTCCGTGACGTGCACGTGGCATTGGACTGGCTACGACTATGACTCGTGTCGCTTACTGAAGTCCATGATAAGATTACGCGAAGTATTTGTAAAGAAAATACAGATACAACTTCCTGGTGTACACCCAGGCTACAGGTTACAGCGCGCAGACACGAGCCCCCGCCTTACGAAACGAGGTTTCAGGAAAACATTAAAAAAAAAGAACATAACATTAAAAACAAAAAAGAGGACGATCATTCGTTTAAACCGAAAGTAGTTAGCGTATGTAGTCCAGGAAGTTAGGGGCGAAGTGAACTAACATTCTGAAGGATAATCTCGCTTCGTTTCTTTCGCTTGACAGTTAGGGGCTCCCGCTGCTTTCGAATGATAAGATGTTTTGTTCTCGGGCCCCTTGCGCATTTCGAACTACGCCGAGCAGTCCATTACGAAGTAGGAGGCCGTGTTGGCGAGCTTCCGGAATATGTGCTTTGGAAAGAAGAAAAACGACATGGTCTTGGAGGTTCCTGCTCGATCGTTTTTGTGTTTTGTCGTGGAATATTTAGATTCGGAAGTTGTATATGTTCTCTACGTGAAACAGGAGAAGTTCCCCACTTGCACCGTTGAATATGAAGGTGCGTAAAAACTGGCACGTGCTTTATAGCGGTCTACAAAGCATTTTTTTAAGCAGAACAAGATAATAGTAGTTGTGAGTTTTAGCGGACGACGCAAACTGCGAAAGACCGAAAACATGGAAGAAAACTAACTCTGAATAGTGTCGTACCCGTTAAAAAAAAAAATATATTACAGTTATTTTGGCATAAGAGTAACTAAACTCTCTAAAATACGCGGTACTTGCTTTAAAAGATACTCGTCACGTTCCTGGTTTGTTTTCACTGTACGTATGCATAATAATGTTTGGAAGTGAAACATGTTTTTCAGTATTGTTTTGCAAGAGCAGAAATATCACCTCGGACAGTACACCACTTTGTATAATAAACACAAAAACAGCGTGAAGACGTGGACAAAGTAAAAAAGGTAACCGACGGGACACAGCGCTGAGTCTCAACTGAAGTTTATTCGGGTTGGCATCTAGCATAAACATTATGTCTGTATACCAACTAGCCCAAACTTCAACGTTAATTCACCCCTTTGAAGAATCTATTTCCTAATTTTATGACGTAGCACTCGGCTTTTCTCAGATCTATTTGTGGTCGAAAACTGAAGGGAGAAATTAGAAAACAACGAACCTTTTTAAAGTAGGGCGCGCGTGTGTATGAAGGCACTCTATTTTAAAGAAGAGTTCAGCGCTTGCGCAGACCTTCCACGCGCAGCGGCGAAAGCTGGAACTACGGTCGACGCTCGCAGGAGGAGTTGCACTACCTATGCTCCTACCTCCTCCGCGATTCAGATGACTCATAGTCACAGGGAAGGCAGGAGACGCAGCGCGACACCTTTTCCGGACGACAAGTACACTTCGAGCTTTCGCCGCTTGATGTCGTCTTTATGTGAAAAAGGCGGATTCAGGCTTAGTAATGCTAACAGTTTCCGGATAATTTTTCTAGCCTATAGCTGAAAGTGGACCGAATAGCCATGATGAAAATCTATACAGCTGAGATCTCCCCAATCGCTGTCTTGTTTGTTCTAGCAAATACAGACGCGTCTGACTCTGTGTCTCAATCCAAACAACTAAAGAATGTCTTCGTTCCGGTTAGAAAACAGGTTTGGCGACAAATAATCGCGACAACGAAGCACACAAACATCTTGTCCGTGATGTGGGGAGACGGGAAAAGGGGGGGGGGGGGGGGAGAAAAGACACTCGCGGTCAGTTTAGTTTTGTTTCAACCATCGTGCTTTGTATGTTCGTCACAAGAAGGACAAGAAGCAGCGTCGACAAGAATGAATAGTAAAATCCCTCCGACGTTTAGTCAACATGTTTAGCCAGTTCGTTTCAACCGCCTAGGTTTGTGTCTTCGTTATCACGAACGCCAAGAACGGCGACAAGAACGAACACTAAAATCGCGATCCTCCCGTCTTCTCACGATCCCGACGACGGGATACCCTTCTATGCCCACTCATCATCAGAAGCAACGCGGCGTCCTTTGTGGTGGCTGATGATACGCGTGTAGGCCTAACTTAATCTTCTCTAGAACAGGGGCGCTCCTTATGTTTCGCCTGGATGCACTGTCTACTAAGTTATACTTGAACGCGATATGCCCCCCTCCGCGTCCCCCAAAGGCACGACAAAACGTGGTTGTTTTTTGTCCTAAGATCTTACAACAGCGCTTATTTTTTTGTTAAGTCGGGTTGTTTTGCTTAGGTTAGGGGACATCTGCATCTGCTTAGAAGCCCGTCACGACGGCCTATCTGCGCACTCTCTTTGTTCTTAACCAGATGCCTGGATCGGATGACAGCGTGAAGGGACAGTGACCGATGAGCATTTTTTTGGTGGGACCGTAAAATGACCTTGATGAATGCTTTAGAGACGCTACATATATGATCTTTAGAAGCCCATATGCCGAGGGCTAGAGAATATAAAAAAAGATATTATATAAAATGTTGTTTTCTTGTTGTTGTTTCTTAAAGTTAGCTCTAAGTGGGTTCTTGGAAGAACGGTGATTTATAATTGAAGTTAGCAAAAGAACCTCGGCTGGGGAATTTAAAAATATCCGAGAGCATCGACGCCCGCGATTCATTTGAGTTTGTAATTCCGTTGTTGCAGCCCCTTCGTGATATTGTCGCGATCAATTTCAATGTTGAATATTTTTCTGCGGAACTTGAAGCTTTGTAGAGCAGACTATTCTCTCCGGTGATTCCGTGTAGAAGAGGTAGTAAATCAGTCAACTTCTTAACACTTTGACAGTCGTGAGTTCCTGTTTTTCTTCCGTTCTGGTGTATGCTTTTCGGGGGGTTTTGCAATACGCGTGACCATACAACTTTAGGCCGAACATGGCACACGTTTCGAAAAACATGGCGACCAATTTCTGAAGGAGTCAGAAGGACTTGCTTGGCTAACAAAAGTAATAGAAAAAGGCCCACCATTGCTTTCTTTAAAAGAGAATATCTTTCCAAATTGGCTCCTGGCATGGTTATGTGCATTTACATGTACTGTTTGGAAGGGACGGATATGTATGTTGTTGACGTAAGTGTTGCCTAAGTCTCAAGTCTCAATGCCCTACATTCTGTCAAATGTATCTGTCGCCGGCTGAAAGATTACGTTAGCAACATTTAAATAGAGCATTCCAATAAGCGTTTTCTCACCGAATCTAAAGGTGATATTAGAACGGCCCGATCGTATCACATTAAACTACTCTTTTAAAAGCTCATACTAGCCAAGGAGTTTTTTTTTTTTTTTAATCATTTGAATTGCATTACGTTTGAAGTATCAAAGCGATTTCGGTCAACCTTATTTCAACGAAATAAAGATTAACAAAATTCGCTTAAAAAGAATGAAATATTACATTTTTAATTGTGTGCATATATTCAGAATGTAACTCAACATAATACTTAGGTAAATCCAAGGACGTGCTGGCTGCCGGATTGGCATTTTCAGCCAAAAGCTATTAAAGAAATCGCGTTACATCTTTGGAAGATTTCCATGGAAAAGAGAGTTGGACGCTGGAGGGTCATATACCTTATTAAGCAAGTTTGTTAAACCTTCAAATATGTTTAGCTATAAAGTGAACCGCTAAAACATTCTGCCTACTTATCTGTAACTGTAACTTATCGAAACGTCATTGAACGTGTTCTGCATGAAGAGCGAAATATTTCGCTTTCTTCCCTGATTATTATCACGGGTTTGAAGTTTCGAAACCATTATACCCATTTCAGCAATAACGGGTTTTCTATCCTCTGCAAGCAGCAGTGATTAGATGAAATCCTATATGTTCTCGAAACTTCTCAAGCAACACATCCACCTCCATACCACGCATAAAGTAAAAGCGAGACGGAAGATTCCAACTTGGAATCACTAATCTGGCCTCTGCAGCAAAGATGTCTGCCACAAGACATTCGGGGAAAAACACTAAAAAAACTAAGCAGCCAGTGAAATATGGACCTGCCGTTTCGTTCTCCAAGATTACGTTGACGTCTAGCTTCAATGATGAAGACAGCTCGCCAGCGACGGAAAGAAAGAACAGCAGTGAATAAGCGCTTTTTTACGCGTTTTCTCTGTGCATTTTTCTTATGCCGCGTGTCTGCTTGGTACAATATGATATTTCTTCTACGGAATTGATGGTTTCTTCCGTGGCTTCTATTTAATTCCCTTTCCTCTGTTTCACATCTTGGACGCCAGGCCGCGGCAGCCTTCTGCTGCAGACTTGGATAGACGGTCGCTTCCTCTTCTTTCCTTCACAACTTTTCCGCTGGGTGGCGTCGCCTCTTCCAAAGCTGCGAACGAAAGCACTGTAGCGTCCGTAGGCCATTCTAATAATCGCTTTCTGTGCGTTTTAATCTTTGTCTGCTGGGCTGTTAAAGCTATTCTGGGCATGCGCAATAAACAGCTCTCTCCTGAGGAATCTCCACCGTCGCGCATGCGTTTACAGTCTATAGTTACTCAGCGTTTTTGACTCGGGTGATAAACGCTGGTACATAATGCTAAGCCTTCTTGATTTTTTTTTTTTTTTTTGCTAAGCCTTCTTGCTTTTCTGAGCAAAACTTTTTGGACACGTTCAGGACTCATTGGTGAGCTCCATGCATAGTCAGTGCCATTAGGGATGAACCGATGTAGATGAGCACAGACGAGTATAGAATCAATACCTCGTAAACCCGTTGCGTCATTGGGCTTTAGGCCTATGAAATGCCGACAAGAAATCACTTGATTTATCTTTTTGAACTTTCGAGGGAATGTGTTTGTGTGTTTTCATTCTGTTTGCTTCAGCGCAAATGTGCAACGAACTTTGGTGTTGCAATACTAGCAAAAAGTCAGAAAAGAGAAAAAAAAAATGTTGATATTGCGGATGGCGTGCTGTCATTTTTCATGGCATGACAGGGTTCTTTTGTCTCGGAATAGATAGACGATATTTCTTCCTTGGGCGATGGGATTCCGAAAAATGAGTTTGTGATAATGTTTTGCTCGTTCTTATCACTTATACTTGCTCTGTGTTCGCGGTCATTTTTCGTTTTGAATCTTCCTTTGAGCTGCAGTCCATATTTGGGCAATTGCGAAAACGAAAGTCTGTGCGGGTCTTTGATTCGGGCGTTCTGAGAACTACGGCTTGATCTTATTAGGGCGTGTTCGAAAGAGGAGTATTAATCACCATAAATACACCTGTCGTTGATTTGTGTTGTTTATTGAAAACATTTCGTCTTTTCTTACAGAGTTCGGACAGTTTTGTAATTCTGTAAAATGTATAGGCTCGTGGCAGTCGGGGTGGTTCCGTAAGCAAACTATCGCTGTGCTCAGTAGAGACCTATATTTAGTATATATATGCTTCCTAGTGTAGTTAAACTCAAAAGTAGATGAAAACAATATTTTTTTTAATTTGAGATTAGGATTACAAGGTCGACCTGACTACACTTAAAGATGTCAAAACTAAGGAATAGTGTTACTGTAGACTTATAAATATTTTTATACAGCTACACTTAAAAATTAATGAAACGTGTAACCATCACGTTCATGTTCCCATCCCTATTG